ATAGTAAAATATTATCCGTCACCCGGTATTGTTTTTCTGCGTATGTAACCGACTCGAGACGGTTCGACTCTCGTGTCCGCTACGCAAAAACAAGACAGGTTATAAAAACTGTCACATACGGATTTCTTCGAAACATCACGCGATCCACGAAATTACGCGTGATTTCGAGCTAACGTTTCGGCGCGTGTATAAAGAGAAGGTACGACAATAATAAGTTGGACAAAGACGAATTCAAATTCGTCTACAGCGCCGCTAGTCGGAGATTCGCCCCTCCGAATTCGACTAACCGTGCTGGATCGTCACTCTAAATTTGGAATCGGTAGAGAGCACATGGGCATACGAACCCGCTCCCCCTTAACCACTTGCGCTAAAAAGACGTGCCACGCACGTCGAGATGCTTTTGTCTCAAACCCGCGAGCGACGTGCACACCACGTCGATAGGCATTTATCGCAAAAATGAAAATAACGTGGTGCACACGTCGCCTAGCAACGAGATTGTTTATTTCTCGAGCTACAGCTCTAGAGTGCACGGCGTCGCACAGTAATAGATTTATATTATTTTTTATCATATCAACTCATATTGTAAAATGGAGAATAATAGTGAAATCAGTGATATTGATAATAATAGTGAACTCAGTGATATAGTTTTGACAAGTACAAGGAGAAAACGATTAATTATTACATCCGATACTGATACAGATAGCGACTGCGAGGAAATTGTTTGTCCTGTTGGGAAGCGGCGTAGAATTATAGTATCTGATAGTGAAGAAGAAAGTAGCAGTGAAGAGCGTGAACTTAATTTTACATCTGAAGAATGGATATGGGGAAACAAGGAAAACAATAGCAAAATTTGGCAGTACTCACGGATTCCTGGAATAAATATAGAAATGGCAGAAGAAACCATAGCTTTGCAAATGCTAAACCAAATTTTACCAAAAGACTTTTGGAATATCATTGTTACAGAAACCAATCGTTACGCGAGTCAAACAATAGGAAATACAGCCCGAAAAATAAGACAATCTGAGGAAAATTGGAGGGATACGAATATTGATGAAATTCATGCTTATTTTGCGTTATGCATCTTGATGGCACAAGTGAAAAAGTCGAATGTCCAATCTTATTGGTCAGGAAGAAGTATTATTGAAACTCCCATTTTTCGAAAAACAATGCCATTACGAAAATTTATGCAACTCTCCCATTTTTTACATTTTTCTAATAATGAAGTTGTGGATAAAGATGATCGTTTGTGCAAATTACGAGATATAATCGATTATCTCAATGAGAAATTTACGAGTATGTACACTCCCGAAGAATATGTGTCATTAGACGAATCTCTAATGAAATATACCGGTCGAATGTCATATAAACAGTTCAATCCATCAAAGAGGGCACGTTTTGGAGTCAAATTTTATAAATTGTGCGAGTCTAAATCAGGATATTGTATCAAATTTAAAATATATACAGGTCAAGATACAGTAAAAAATTCAATCACCAGTGCTTCCGAAAATGTTACCATGTTTATGTGCACACCAATATCCAATTTCGGACACACCTTGTTCTTGGATAATTGGTATTCTTCGCCAAATCTGTTTAAAAAATTACAATCCATAAAAACTAATGCCATTGGTACAGTTAGATGTAATAGAAAGAATATGCCGAAAGATCTCGCAACGACAAAGCTGAAACGATCAGAAGCTATTTCAAGATCATGCAAGGGTATTTTAGCTGCAAAGTGGAAAGACAAAAAAGATATATATTTATTATCTACAAAACATAAAAAAATTGAGATGATGGAAGTAGAAAAGAAGAGATGGAAAACTAATAACATCGTTGTAAAGCCCAATATCGTTTTAGAATATAATGATGGCATGGGTGGGGTAGATCTCCAAGATAGCTACTTATCTTCTTTTTCACTTATGAGAAAATACGTGAAAAGTTATAAAAAAATCTTTTTTTACTTAATGGATATTGCACTTTTTAATGCTTATGTTTTATTTTCAAAGAAATTAAATATATCAAAAAGTAAAAAATACACATTTTCCAAATTCCGATTAGATGTGGCGCAACAGATTTTAGAAAGTGTATGTATGCCTGAATACAAAAAACGTGGAAGACTGTCTGCTGGTGACGTACCACTGCGTTTACAATCAAAACATTGGGGCCATTTTCCAAGGAATATTCCACCCACAGAAGCTAAAAAAAATCCCCAAAGAAGATGTAAAGTGTGTAGCAAACATAAAAAACGCAGCGAGACTACTTGGGAGTGCAAGAAATGCCTTGTGGCATTACATATTCCAAAATGTTTCGAAATTTATCATACAAAAGTAGATTATTAATTAATAAAATGTTATTGTTGTCGTGAGTATTCATTTATATCCGTGTAAAGTTCTTTATGTAAGAGCCTACCAATGCGCTGAGTCGCTGCTTAAAGAATTGCACTCGCATACGCGGAGCGGCGTAGATGTGACACTTTATCGCTTGTTATATTGTAGCGCACGGCATCGCAACCGTGAAGTTTATTCGTAGCGCAAGTGGTTAAATTCCAAAACGGCCGACTAGTTCCGAGCTCCTCGAACTATCGGAGAAATTACCAACGTGGTACGGAAGTTAACACGAAAAAACGGATAGGCAATCCATCCGGTAACGTCTTAACTTCCACACACGTTAATTTATTTCAATTAAAATTAGAGTCGGAAGCGCAAGGAAGGTCTCGACGAAAACGGATAGGGAACCCATCCGGTGCCGTCGATACTTCCATAATCGCTTACCTGTTAAAAAGATCAGATCGGAACACGACCTGATTAATTAATTTATTGACTGTAGAATCTCGCAGGTTAAAATCCGAGATTTCGTATTCAGCAGTGGCTACGACCCACCTTAGTCTGAAAAAATCCAAAAGTAAAAGAGAACACGGATCGCTGCAATCAGAGGTCGTGTTTAAGGTATCGAGGTTGACTCTCGTACCTCTCTAGTATATCAAACGGTTCGTAACCCACAATCCAGGGGTGTATAAAATACCCTGGGTGGATTTACCACCTTCTAGTCGAAGTGTGGGACAACTTTCACTCCCAGCTTACGACGAATCGCAGAATACCTCCAAAGATCGCCAGTCTAGTACGGTCACTGTGCGTAGGACGTTAATTCATCAAGCTACGTGGTGTCAGGCCCAATCGTAAGTCGACCCAAGGGCGCCGTTGGCACACCTGCATCACACCGTGCCCGTACGCACGCCATAAGGTGGTAAAAAAGGGCCGAGGAGCGGGTACGGTTGCAGCCTTACAACCTCCACCCGTTACCCTCTCCTACGACAGTCAAAACCTGCAGTCGAGGAAGAAACGAGGTTGAATCTCGTCTTCCCAAAACTGCAATAAGAAGTTTCCCGGTTTAAAGGGAACGCACAACATATACAGTCCACTAGCTTAGCCGCGTAACGCGGCAGCTGAGTTTCCCGCTCCTGAGCGCGACGAGCATAATCAGGAGCGCGTGTACATTAAAACGAGACGGAAAGCGTGACTCACGTTGCCGAATATTTACACATAGTTCCGTCTCTTTTGGTTTCAGAACAGCGTGACACGAGCAGCCGCCAGACGACGGCCAGACGGATCACGCGTCGCCGAACACGGCTGTATCAAATTTAAAGGGCCGATAAAAATAAAAGACGTCGTCGAACTTTCGACGACGTGAAAATCTATATAACGCATGAGAATTACTTTTCCATCCTCCTATTCCCTCGTGATCCGGACCCCCGTTAGACGAGGTTCTCAAATCAGTGTTTGAGCCCTCCACATTCTAACAATAGTAGTGTAGTGTTTTTTACAATTTAGTTTAGTTTAGTTTAGTTTATTATCGTGTTTTTAATTTTAGTTAATTTTTTATATATTTCGTTTTTTACATTTATACGTATTTATTTTTTCTACTTTTTGCATTTATATATATTTATCCATTTTTACTTTTTGCATTTTTTACATATTTATCGTTTTTACTTTTTGTCTTTATACATATTTATCCTTTTTTACTTTTTGCATTTTTTACATTTTTATTTATTCAATATTAGTTTTATAGTTTTACTTTTTATTAAATTAAATATTTAATAAACGAAATGAAATCTCGAAAGAGGGGCCAAACCGTCCATAGTGAGGCCCGAAACATTATTCGGCATGTAATCCGAAAGTGTGACGAAGAAGCAAATAAAGGGCAATATCTGCATGCCGTGAAGCAAGCCAATGCGCGTATTGCGGACTATACCGGTGTTTCCGTATCAACGGTGACGAGGATCCGGAAGGAAGATTCCAAGTCCACAGAAGATAAACATCTTTCATATCCTAGGAAAAAACGTCCGAGAAGTATTGAGAAGAAGTTTCATTGTTCGGAAGAAGATAGGAGTGTCATAAGAAACATAATTTACGATTTTTACGTCGAGAAGAAAATTGTGCCCAGTGGCCCAAAACTATTAGCCGCAATTAGACAACAAATTGAGTTTCCTTGGAAATTAGATACACTTCGGCAATTGTTAAAAAGTATGGGCTTTAAATGGAAGAAAAGCATCAGTATTAGGAAAGTCCTAATAGAACGGCCCCAAATTGTTGCCTGGAGAGGCAAATATTTAAAAGCTCTTCAATATTACCGCAATCAGAAGAAAAACATAATTTATATTGATGAAACTTGGGTGGACAATACCCTATCTTTCGGAAAGTGTTGGCAAAGTGAGGACATAATTGGCATTGCGAAAAACACCAGTACATCACATCGTCTTATAATTGTACATGCTGGAGGGAAGGCAGGCTTTGTTAATGGTGCGAAATTAGTATTTAAAGTCCGGTGTGAAACGGGAGATTTTCACGGACAAATGAATGGGGAAAATTTTCAAAGGTATGTATAAATTAACATGAAATTGAATTACATGTGTCTTTAATTAACTTTAATTTCTTAGTTAATTAGATATTTGATAAGTTATCCTACTCACGTTTCACACTTGTTCTTAATACAAAAATTGTTAACAGATGGATTCAAGAAAAATTAATACCGAACATTCCCGAAGAAACCATTATTGTAATGGATAATGCACCTTATCACTCGGTGCAAATAAACAAGCCTCCTTCCAAATATGCAACAAAGCCGAAAATGATCGAATGGCTAACTAAAAATAATATTCCGTTCGCTGAAAGCATGCGACGGTATGAATTACATGAATTAATCGAACAAAATAAATCGAAAGAAAAAACATACAAAATTGATGAAATTTTGAAAGCAAATGGGCATATAATATTAAGATTGCCGCCCTATATGTGTGAGCTCAACCCTATTGAGCTGATTTGGGCACAAGTAAAACGTAAAATAAGGTAAAATAATCCCTCTACATTATCCAGTGCCGAATTATCTGAACTAACAGATGATGCTCTAACTTCTATAACAGCCGAAAATTGGAAAAATTGCTGCGAACACGTCGAGAAGCTGGAGAAACAGTATTGGGAGAAGGATAACTTAATAGATGACATGATGGCAGATTTGACAATCGCAGATAGCAATTCTGAAGCAGAAAGCACAAGTGGAAGCAGTCTTTCAGAAGATACGGAATAAGTAAGTAACACCCTGATATTTATGTATAAGTAATTGTAAATAAGTGTATTAAGAAACATAATGATATTTTTATTTGCTTTGTAGATAGAACGCTATAATCCGAGCCTACGCCCATGGTTTAAAATCCACCGCAACGCAGACGTCGTCTCATCTCACTTTGTCTCCAAGCGTCTTTGTCAGGCGACACGATTAGTGTGTGTGACCGCGTCGACTAATAGCGCGCGACGATCTAGAATGCGTGTGCATGAGGTGTGGCTTAGCGACAGTGACCAATCGTACCCGCATACTTTTGCCTCGTCTTCATCTCATCGGCCTACGGTACACGTTCCGCAATTAGGCAGACATAAACTTAACTCGAGAGCGAGAGAATGTGTGTTCGTAGGATACTCAACCCAAACAAGAGGTTATCGACTGTGGGATCCTACCAAGAACGATGTAATACATTCAAAACACGTAGAATTTATAGAAGGAGTAAATGGGTATGAATATATTAATAATAAAAGGACGTATGAAATTCCATATATTGAGGAGAGTATGACGATAAATGCTACAAAAACCATTGATGTAAAATCGAACATAGATGAAACCGAGGACGAGGAGGTAGATAGCTTAGGTATTTCTGATACACCAGTGGTAAGAGTAGACGATATGAGAGCCGATATAAACAGGGAAAAGAATAATTCCAAAGGTGGGGAGAATAAAATAATTAAAGGTAAGAAAGTGATAAGAAATCCATGGGGTTGCAAGGGTAAACCTAAGAATATAGAGATTAACTTGACAGAAATAGAAGAACCAACGACGTTTGAAGAAGCAATAAATTCGCCTCAATCAGAGAAATGGAAATCCGCTATGGACGAGGAATTGCGTAGCTTAAAGAGTAGAAATGCATGGAAAATAGTAGACAGGCTCGAACACATGAAATGTATCGGTAGTAAATGGATATATAAAGCTAAAACTGATCCATCCAGTAAAGTAGTTAGGTATAGAGCAAGGTTAGTTGCGCAAGGCTTCAGTCAAAAGAAAAATATGGATTACTTCGAATCGTATGCTCCTGTTGCCAACTTGAGCACTATTAGGCGATGTCGGTATGTTATGGTTGGGTTGTGCATCATTTAGATATTAAGTGCGCATACCTATATGGGGATCTATCTGAAGAGATTTATATGAAATTACCGCCAGGAAGCATTGAATCCAAAGATAAAGTCGCTAAGTTAAACAAGTCAATCTACGGATTAAAACAATCCGGACCCGATTGGAATTATGCCATTGATACATTTTTGATCAAGAACGGGTTTAAAAGATTAAAGACTAATAACTGTACGTATGTATATGAAAACGATACTATTCTAACGATTTACGTAGATGATGTGATATTGTTTAGTAAGAGCGAAGACAAGTTACAACATGTAAAAATGATATTGATGTCTCATTATGAAATAAGAGATTTAGGAATAGCATCCTACTTATTAGGGATAAATATTAGATTCGTAGAAAACAAAATAGAATTGTCTCAAAATCTACATATAGAGAAACTGTTAAATAAGTATAATATGGTAAATTGTAAAGGTGCAAAAACGCCTATGGAACCGGGTGTAAAATTGTCAAGTTATGATTGTAATAGTGAATGCAAGAAATATGAGATGGAAGAAATACCGTATAGACAACTAATAGGATCGCTGTCGTACCTAGCACATGCGACGCGACCGGATATAATGTATGCGGTATCGAAATTAGCACAGTTTGTTTCCAATCCAGCCAGAACGCACTGGATACAAGCGAAAAGAATACTAAGATATTTGTCTGTTACAAAACAAAATGTTCTAACGTATAGTCCAGGTAACGCTGAGATTGAAATATTTAGCGACGCAGCCTGGGCGAATGATATGGACGATAGACACTCATGCAGCGGATTGATAGTATTTTTGGGAAATAATCCAATAAATTGGAGATCGAGCAAACAAAGATGTATAACTACTTCCACTATGGAAGCGGAATATGTTGCTTTAGAGATCGCGGTAAAGGAATCTATGTGGATGAACATGTTGTTCATCGAATTAGATTAAGATTACGTTAAGATATTTGTAAGCTGAAGATCTGTGTCAAAAGTGGGGGAATGATGGAGTTTGCCATAGATGGCACTAGCGTCATTAGAGCGTGCACGCGACACGCTGGGGCTACGGGCCCACGCGCTCTCGAATGTGTCATAGTAGGGAGAACTTATTGCCAATAGGGAAACTTTTAGAGGAGGCCCAGGAAACGCGTCACAAGGATTTCAAACGCATCAAATATAGTAACACACGAAAAATTTAAGATTATGCACAAATGAAAATATTTTACATCGACTACTTTTGACATTCGATCCATGCATATCCAGTATTAGAATAAAATCATACCGTAAAAAAGTTAGGCCATTAGAAGCAAAAGCTGTAGAATTAATAAATATTTACCAGAAAAAATGATAAAGTAATAACAATAATAGTACCAATAACAACAACAATTGTGATACAATTCTTCTTTAAACTATCCATAGCTTAGTATTTCAACCTTATCTGGTTCAAGTTGCAAGCTAATATCACATACGGTTTAAAAGTTATACAAAAATGGCACACGATTCTCTAATCTGAACCACTGTGCGCCAAGGTGACGACGTTGAGGATTGGCTTGACCAATCCTCCCCCCGGTGAGCAATGTTCGTCGTTGCCACCTTGGTAGGGGGAACTAAGGTTTCCTTATTGGCAAAATAGGAACTTAGGGTCGAATTAGTTTTCGAGAGAGTTAGGTTTGGTAGTTAGTTTCCAGATGAATTTATTCCTATGTATCAGAAGCAGCAAGCAGCCCTGTGTTTTACTGCAGTCCTGAATATGTCCGCACGGTCAGTGAGACAGTTATTGGAAAGAATTCGAAACATAAATGAAGCGAGTTTAGACGGGGAAAATTGATTTTATGCATACTGCTACTAATAGACTCTCTCAGTGGCAACACTTGCAAAGGTTGAAACAGCATTTTTGGTCACGATGGCACAAGGAGTATTTGCAGGAACTCCACACAAGAAAGAAATGGCATCTGGGAGATACCAAAGACATTAAAGAGGGCAAATTAGTGCTCATGCGAGAGGACAACACACCGCCACTACATTAGAAGCTTGGCCGAATCATCGCCCTACACCCAGGGGAGGACAATATACCCAGGGTCGTGACAGTACGGACAGCGCACAGCAGACAACGACTAGCGCAGACCCGCTACATTCTTCGATATCTTAATTCAGTCATTAATTTAAGTTTAAGGATCATTCCTACATGGTACATTAAGTGTAGGTTAGCATCAACACATATTAATTAATTTAACTTAGATGAAACGGAATCGAACAAAACACGCCAAATCGATTTATGTATTAACGCGCCATATCGCTCGCAACAATCAATTCTACCAATTCACTTATTGCGATTCTTTGAACACGACCGTTCAAGGCGGGCGGCATGTTGCGTTGCGAAACATGTCGTTCCATTTATAACGGCAATTCAGCGTTTACATTGACGCTACAAGCATTAGCTAAGTGGTTTTAGTGTCAATGTAAACTCAATCACATAATAACCGCCATAAAGGGCCCGCTCCAGCGACCTCGCGACCTGGTCCTGACCGTTGGGCCAGGGTTTTTCCCGATACCTGGGACGTGCGGTCCACCCTCAAGAACACGAAATGCAAGAAGTACCAGCGCACCAATCCTGAACGAAAAGGGTTCTGATTGGTTGCGGCTGGCTTCTTACATTAGGATATAAGGCGCGACATTTAACATACAAGATATAAAACTACAAAACGTCCAAACATCACACACCGCCGTACGAACGAGAGAGGGTCCATGCCCAACAGAAACACAGTCCACTAGAACAAACCAACGCCTTGCATATCAACAGACGTGCAAGAAGAGCTCTCGACGTCCAACACATTGCACGAGCTCTCAACAGAAGCAGAAGCCTTGCAAGTTTTAGGGACTGAATATGATCTGCCGACACCAAAATTATATGAGTTTATCGGAGTTTTATACGTACGTGACGCTTATCAAGCACAAAATTTACTCACTTCACATATGTGGAATTCGAAATGGGGATCTCTCTTCTCTTCGAAAGCTATGAGCAGGTACACTTTTACAGAAATTTTGAGATTTCTCCGATTCGATAAAAAAAAACACAACGAATCCAATGCTTGAGTATGAACAAATTTGCTCTAATTTCAAACGTGTGGAGCAAGTTCATCGAAAATAGTTAAAGTTGTTACAAGCCGGCGCTTTGCTGCCATTGTGACGCTGAGCAGGACACGGCTAAACATACCCTCGAGGTATGCGCTGCGTAGAGCGCGCCACGCTAGGCAGCGAGAGGAAGTGGAGGACCGTGGCCTCCTTCTGCGAGAGCGTAATGCTGCAGAAGGAGACCGCGGGAAGGGAGCGCGAGCTTCAGCGGCGTGCTGAGGCTCGCGATCGTATGGTGGCGAGAGAGGGTCGCCCGGGCGCCAGGCGACGCGGGCGGTCCTCACGGCGTGGCTCATGACCCAGGCTAGGAGGGGGGTCCTGATAGGAGCCCCCTCCCGCCAGGAGGCGCAGGGTCGGACCAGATAGGGATGGCAGGGCCTCCTCTTTGGGTCCGGCGCTCAGAGAGGCAGCCTGGGTGGCCTGGTGCGGCCAAATAAACCCGACAAATTTGGAATCAAATTTTGGCTAGCGTCTGACGTCAACACCAAATATTTTGTAAACGGATTACCATATTTAGGACGCGATGAAATAAGACCGACATCAATACCAGTGAGTAAATTTGTTGTCCTGAAATTGGCCGAACCTTTCACTAACTCTGGGAAGAATGTTACAACTGTAGCGGCCGCGACAAGTAAGAAAGAGACTTCCGCTCGCCGCCGAGCCGAGCAACAAGGATGAGTGAAAACGTGAGTGATTGTGAAAAACAATTGAATGCGCGAATGTATGTATGTGAGTGAATGTGTGGTCGCATCGTGCC